CTTGGAGCCAGGGCGCCTTCTTGGGGAAGAGGTGGTGGAGGCACCTCCTGATCCTCGCCTCCTGTGCAGAATGGTGGGCGAGGCAGCGAGAGGGACGGCAAGGGGAAGCCCCCTGCGGTGCTGACGAGCTCGGTGATGCGGGCAAGCCAGTCCTCATAGAGGTCGTCGACGGGGCAGTAGTGCAAGAGCTCTCTTGTCAGGAGTAGCACGGCGTGCGCGTCCGTGGGGGCGCGATGGGCGTGGGACGATGAAGCGGCTGGAGTTAGCGACGGTGTGGCGGTGCGGCCCTCCCACCGTACCGAAGGATGCTGGGACGAGACCTGCTGCTCGTTCCCCGCTGGGCCGGTGGCGGTGTTGGCGGTAGGCGACAGGGAACGACGAGGGCGTCCGCCGACGGGCGCCGTCTGGGCGACGTGGGTGGCGAGAGCAGCCCGGCGCTCGGCGCGTGCCCGACGAGCGTCCGCCATGGACACGACGGAAGATCACACTCGAACAGCGGAGGAAAGATTCCGGCGCACCCCTACCTGGCGCACGAAATGTCGGATTTCGGGTTCCAGCAGACCCTTGAGGTTCGAACACTGGGGTGCGCGCGGAGGTCTCTCCCCTACCGATCTACATCCAATCTCCTCACGTGATCTAAGCTGGAAACAACGAACAACACAAGGGACACGAGGTTTATACTGGTTCGGGCCACCGTTGTGGTGTAATACCCTACTCTAGTGTGTGGTGTGGTGGATTGCCTCGGGGGGCTGATGATGAATAGTACAAGGGAAGAACAACCTCGCGAGAGGTGTTCTTGAGCTGGTGCGATGAACTGCTTGGGTGAGTTCAGTCGCCACTCGGTAATGCACATCACTATAAGCCTTGCAAGCATTGCAACTAATGAGTTAGTTGCGGGATGATGTGTTATAGAACGAGTAAAGAGACTTACCGGTAACAAGATTGAACTAGGTATTGAGATACCGACGATCGAATCTCGGGCAAGTAACATACCGATGACAAAGGGAACAACGTATGTTGTTATGCGGTTTGACCGATAAAGATCTTCGTAGAATATGTAGGAGCCAATATGAGCATCCAGGTTCCGCTATTGGTTATTGACCGGAGACGTGTTTCGGTCATGTCTACATAGTTCTCGAACCCGTAGGGTCCGCACGCTTAATGTTCGATGACAGTTATATTATGAGTTTATGTGTTTTGATGTACCGAAGGAGTTCGAGTCCCGGATGAGATCGGGGACATGACGAGGAGTCTCGAAATGGTCGAGACGTAAAGATCGATATATTGGACGACTATATTTGGACATCGGAAAGGTTCCGAGTGATTCGGATATTTTTGGGAGCACCGGAGAGTTACGGGAATTCGTATTGGGCCTTAATGGGCCATACAGGAAAGGAGAGAAAGGCCTCAAAGGGTGGCCGCACCCCTCCCCATGGGCTGGTCCGAATTGGACTAGGGAGGGGGGACGCCCCCTTCCTTCCTTCTCCTTTTCCCTTCCCTTTCCTTCCCTCCTACTCCTACTACTTGGAAGGGCTCCTAGTTCTACTAGGAAAGGAGGAATCCTACTCCTGGTGGGAGTAGGACTCCTATAGGGCGCGCCATAGAGAGGGCCGGCCCTCCCCCTCCTCCACTCATTTATATACGGGGGCAGGGGGCACCCCAAAGACACAACAATTGATCTATTGATCTCTTAGCCGTGTGCGGTGCCCCTCTCCACCATAATCCACCTCGGTCATATCGGAGCGGTGCTTAGGCGAAGCCCTGCGTCGGTAGAACATCATCATCGTCACCACGTCGTCGTGCTGACGGAACTCTCCCTCAAAACTCGGCTGGATCGGAATTCGAGGGACGTCATCGAGTTGAACGTGTGCAGAACTCGGAGGTGCCGTGCGTTCGGTACTTGATCGGTTGCATCGTGAAGACGTATGACTACATCAACCGCGTTGTGCTAATGCTTCCGCTTTCGGTCTATGAGGGTATGTGGACAACACTCTCCCCTCTCGTTGCTATGCATCACCATGATCTTGCGTGTGCGTAGGAAATTTTTGAAATTACTACGTTCCCCAACAACTGCGCAGGCTGGCGCCCGCCTGACGCCCGCCTGGTCTCGGTCATCATGGCTTGCGTCACGGGCTCCTTGCGAGGTACCCCTGCCTTGATCTCTCTGCCTCCTCGCGAGCCTGCCTGATGTGGCTGCCTCTGAGGAAGCTTTCTGTCGTCCGCCCCGCGAGGCTTGGCCCCTCGCAAGGGTTTTGAGCTTGAGCTGATAAAGATGGGCCGCGCTGCCCCCCCACTTGAGCCACGCCGCAGGCCACAGACAGACAAGTCTGGGGACCCCGTTCCCAGAACGCCGACAGTACGTACCCCTAGTAAACTATAAATGTTATGTAAGCCAATAAAAACGTGAGGGGACAAACAACACAAGCCATGGACAAAAAATACCATCACTTGCTCTCCAGCCGTTGTAGGAGAGGCCGATGTCTTATGTGATTACGCTCGCAAGAATATGAGGCATAGCTGATTTTCCTTAGAAAAGTTTCTGATTTCTTTCTTTCTTGACATTCCAAACAATAAATGCGCCAAGTGGGATTTCTCTTGAGTATATTTTCCCCTTCTATTCATGGTCCTTCACATTACTTTTCGGCACCAATTTTTTGACTGATAAAGCTTGGCTAGTAGCTTGTCAAAATCCTAGGGTTGTAGCCTTGAAATTTTTGCCAATCACTTCTTATGAAAACGACAAAATAAATAAATAAATGAGACGAGTCAAGACAATCACACGCTCTCAACATTTTTACTATCCTTTTTCTATTCTCGCTACCAGAATTTGGTTTTGTGCATAGTTTCATAACTTTGCCGAGTTCATTCTATTGGAAACTCGGCGAACTTTTGTCTACTGAGTTTGATTTAAAATTGGACTCATAGGTAGAGCGCTGACTTTGCCTAGTTCCACCGAAAAACGACTCGGCAAACAAAAACAACTCAGCAAAATCTCAAGTTCGCTGAGTTTCAGACCGAAAAAACTCGGTAAAGTCTGACAGATGGGCCCTGCTGTAGAGCAGGCGACGGAACTATGTCAGCGGTCTTTCTTTGCCGAGTTTCGGTTAACGGAGACTCGACAAACATTTTCTTTTTTCCATTTTTTAAAATTGGAATGCTAGGGGTCACGGCTTTGCCGACTCCCTGATAGAATGAACTCGATAAAGATATGACTCTTCATCTACCAAACGATAAAAGAGAAATTGTTTAGTCCCACCTTACTGCGCGAGGAGCGACGTGACCAGCTTACATAGCCATCTCGTCCAAAAATAATAAGCTTCAGTCATCATTGTGAAGGATATGGGCTGTCATTATGAATCTTCTCTGTTTCTACGCAGAGAAGATTCATAGTCATTGTCCATATCCCCTTGATGGTTGCTAGGCTCTTTTCTCAATCGGTGCTGATCTTCGGTGGATCCACTTGGATCCAGTCTTCGTTCGTGTGTTTACAGGTTGGATTCTTTCGATTTATACTTAACTTCATGGATGATGGTTGCTGTTCTGGTGTGCTGGTCCTGTGGGGCTTTAGCACAACGACTTCCCGACTATCAACTACAACTCTACAAGTCTACTGCAAGTTTGGCCCGGCTCCAGTGAGGAAGGGGTGATGACGGCGGTGCGCCTTCGGCTCGCTCCAGTGATTATAGCCGTCACTAGATGATCTATGGACATGGATGTAATTTTTGTTATGTATGTGTTCTCTATACTGTCATGCTATAATGAAAAGATCAGAAGTTTTCTAGCAAAAAGAAACTCCTTTTTAAATACTCACACGTTTCAAAATATAATGTGAATTATTTTTTGAAGTCAAACTTGTGTATGTTTGATCAAGTTTTTAGAAAAAATATATTAATATCTCAATATCAAATTTGTATTATTAGATTCATCATGAAAAGTTTTTTCATATTTTGTTTATTTAGTATTGCAGACACTGATAAATTTTTTCTATAATCTTTGATTAAACATGCATATGTGTCGGGGTAATTGACCACAGGTACCCAGAAGACGGCGAGACAATATTTCAAGACATCGGGCTAGCAAAGCCCCTCAGTCCGACTGCTTAGGCCGCCCCAGATGGCCCCCTGCCCGACTGAGCCAACCAGACTAGCCGGCAGCCCAAAGTCGACCGCTGCACCGACAAGACTCGGACAAGACGGCTGTACCTGAGCACTGTACACATGTCATCATGTATAGTGTCATTTATCCCCGGGCACTATTTATAAAGTGACCCAGGGGACAAGGATGACACTCCCATCATGCCCATCACATAGCTTACATCCTAAGCTAGTCCACACTATATAAGCTAGCCATCCATCCATCCATCCACATGCTCTCACGTATGCATACATGAGCACACACCATGCACACTTGCATGGCCCCTGGCCACTAGCTCACTCGGCCACGGGCACGCATGCCCAAGCATTCATACACATATATACGAGATTAGACGCCCTTGGCAATGATCTCAAATACAGTTCCAGGAGCACTTTGTACTGCC